TTGTTTGACCAATCTAGATATTTGTTTGATATATCTGTATATTTGTTTGTGCATGGATTTATCAATGGCAAGAAATAAAAGGATCGCGAAGAGAGCGCGAAGGAATCCACCGCCATTGCGAGAGGAGGATGAGGAAGAAGATGCTGGACAAGGAGCTGCACCAAAATTGGATATTCTAGGACAAGGCAAGCCGTGGTACAGATTTCGGTGCCATACCAAATCTCTCCTAGATGTTATTAATTACTGGAAGGAAGAGCCAAGGTATTATGAAGCATGTAAGAAAGAGTTGGAGAAGGCTGGATTTGGAGGGTTATTGGAGCTTCGATTGGCAAATTTTCCAAAGAAGTTGTTCGATACCTTGATGGCACAGTACGACTTGGTCACCAGTTCATTCATTTTCGGTGAAGGGGAGAACAAGAAGGTGCTGACAATCGAAGCTGAGGATGTTGCCCGTGTTTACGGCCTTCCTATTGGTGGAGCTGAGATTGATGTCGTTAGGTCGAACGACAAGATGCTTGATATGTTCTTGGAGGAGCTCAATATCGAGTGTAATCGAAGTCGAAATGTCGAAGTCTTGGATCTTAAAGAGGCAGCCTGTGGTGGTCCCGATGACGCACCGAAAAGGAGACCACCTGTTGCAGCCGCAGTGAAGCAGTTTTTGTTGCTGGCTCTAGGTTCGATGCTTATCCCAAAGATGTCACGACTTTGTGATCTCGATTATGCCGAGTATCTTGTTGGAAGGGTGGAAGACATTGCCACTTTTAATTGGAGTGGTTTTGTTGCCCGCAATCTGAAGTTTGAGTTGTCTCGTGCTAAGGAGAACGAAGCTGAACTAAGGCATCTTGGTAAACAACAATGGCCTCTCGGAGATATCCACTTCTTAATGGTAACTTCTCCTTTAACATTGTTGATATTGTTTATTTGATTTGCTTAGGATATTAGTTTTTGTGCCTTTGATGTTAGTTTCGCTGCTTAGGATATTAGTTTTTTCTATTTCTGATATTTGATTTCTTTGCCTTTGATATTAGTATCGCTTCTTAGGGTATTAGTTCTTTTCATTCGTGATATCTGTTTTGTTTGCTAGTGATATTAATAACTGTGCATGGGATAATAGTTGTTTCATTTCTGATATTTGTTTTGAACTTGTTTTTATAGATCCATTTGCTGGACTTCCTTAATGTGAGAGGGTTTGCCACAAAAACCATCCCTACCTGCAGCTATTGGTTTGAACCTAGGGTGGACAAGGTGTGCTGTAATATCCCCAAGGAAGCTGAGAAGTATCTTCTTGGTCCGATGTTGTTCTCAAGAGAAGAAGTCAAATCCCGCTTCCGTCCTGCACGTGTCAGGAGGGATTTGGAATTTGGATCAAGCAGCTCGGCTTCTACTACTGAATGGTGGAAGGATGTTGATTTGGAAACCCTTGATGATGATGAGGTATGTATATATTCTCTCTGCAACTCAAAATAATGGGTTAGTGGCCATGGGTGTTTGTAGTGAACTAAATTTGTTTTCAATATATGTGTAGCTTAAGGCATTGGAGTCCATGACTGAAAAAATGATGGATGTATGGGAGTCAAGGCGGGATAGTGTTTGGAGAGTTGTCATTTTGCGCCATCAAGGAACCAAATGATCTTGGCAAATTTTCTCTCTTTAATTGGATGTAATGTGCTTGTTGGGATTTGATCTTTGCCATGTTGGAATGGCTTGAACATTAAGATTTCTGTTTCTTGTTGGGATTTTATCTTTGCCATGTTGGAATGGCTTGAACATTCAGATTTCTGTTTATTGTTGGGATGTTATCTTTGCCATGTTGGAATGGCTTGAACAAATTGTTTGTTCTGGATATTATTTATTTTCATGATTGCATCGAACATGTGCTGTATGTTTGGATATTACTCTGTGTTGTCAGGGTAATTGATTCAAATTATGTTTGGATATTGTTCTGTGCGTTCTGGATAACAGCTCCCTCATGATTGGATATTACTCTGGCAGTTTGGATAATAATTTAGTGTGCTTGTACGTGTTTTTCCAGCGACCAAAACAAAGAAGGAAAAGGGGCAAAGTGGCGAAATCTTCTTCGACTTTGGTCTCTGTGACCAAAGTGAGGATGAAAAAGGATGGAGACGGGAAAGGCAAGAACATGTGCAGCCGCTTCGACTCTCGGAGAATACCTGAGAAGACAGTCTTGTCTATTGTCGAGCCTGAGGTCGACATGCCTGTTGATAAGTCCAATATTGAGATGGAGGTGGAGCCAGAGTCAGTTGCCGTTACTGAGATGGAGGTGGAGGTAGAGTCAGTTGTCGCTACTGAGCTGGTTCGGGAGCCAGATGGAGTTGTCGAGCCTGAGGTCGACATGCCTGTTGTTAAGTCCACTACTGAGATGGAGGTGGAGTCAGAGTCAGTTGTCGCTACTGAGATGGAGGTGGAGTCAGAGTCAGTTGTTAGGACTGAGCTGGTTGGGGAGCCAAATTCTGTTTGTTTCGAGTCTGAGGTGGAGGTCTCTGTTGTTCAGTCGGGGGAGCCAGGCGTGCAGTCGACTGTTAATCCACTTAAGGAGATGGGGGAGCCAATCGAGCAGAGTATGGGTACATCTCCGACTACGGTAATATTTCTCTTACCATTAGCCTCTAGTATGGGTTTTTTGGATATTTGTTACTTTATGAGTAGATACTGGCAATCTTTTGCAGATACCTGTCGAGTCAACTACTGCTGCCCAGGAGAGTATCACAATGGTCCCGACTGAGGTTCTAACTCAAGGATTAGCAGGACCATCAGAGGATGAGCTTATAGCAGCAGCATGTGAGCTGATGGAGGATAGAGACCCGGATACGACATTCGCGAATGTGATGCAGATTGGTTTCCAAGCCACTGCTACCGCTGAAGAGAGTATCAAGACATCTCCAACTACGGTAATATTTCTCTTACCAATAGACATTAGTATGGGATTGCTGGATATTAGTTTCTTTTTGCATGGATAATATCATTGGCTGCCAGGATATTGTTTTCGTATTGAGTGGATACTATCCTGGGCGTTTATGATATTGATTTCTTTTGTTATGGATACTAGCTTGGGCTTGCTGGATATTTGTTTCTATATGAGTAGATACTGGCCATGTTTTGCAGTTTCCTTTCAAGTCAACTACTGCTGCCCAGGAGGATAGCGACAATGATATTATCATCTCTGAGTGCATTAAGAGTGCGGAGGAGGCAGAGTATTTGTACTCTATCACACCGGAAGCTTGGAAAGCAACCCTAAAAACTCCAGAGTTTGATAGGTCAAAACACCACCCCTTCGGCGAATCAATGTACGTTCTGCCAAAGACTATGTCGACGAAACTCGACGTTACAGCTATGCAAGTGGTTGACTTCATATTCAGTACTCCTGCTCCAGCCAAGTAAGTTGATAATTGAGGAGTTATTTAATCACCAATTTCAATTTGCCCAACCCAAATTTCTAAACTGGTTTTCATTTTTGTTTTATAGTGAGAAATTTGTAGTGGATACTCCAACCGGTACCCTTTCCCGTGAGCAGATACATTCATTGAAGGGTAGAAGTTGGTTGCATACCCAAATACTTGTAGTATACGGGAATTTGATAAATTACAAAGAAGCAGGCAATGAGGTGGTGCAAAGAATTGTCTTCCCATGGAGTTATGTAGTAAGTATTATCTTCACTGCTTAGATACTATTCATATTTAAAATATCTAATTTCATATTGTTGTCTCTTCTAAATAGCAATATGCCGTCAATACTGCTTATTCGAACCAACCCATGGACAAGGCGAGACTAGATGCATGGATTCATCTGCACAAATACAATCCAATGCTGAAACGGGAAAACTTGGAAAGATGTGATTACGTAAGCGACTCTGCTAGTTTGAATTTTTTTTATTTTTCATAGATATTTGTATGGGTTTATAGGATATTATATTGGAAGTTGAGATATTAATTTGGGTTATTAGGATATTAGTCAATGATAAACTCACAAACTGCTTTGTGTTACAGATATTTTTTCCAATGTATCGAAATGATCACTACCGGGTGTACGTGGCTGACATGAAGAATAGGAGGACTTTCGTACTTGACAGCCAAAAGCCCAATGCCCGAGTGGCTAAGGAGGATCATGGACCAGTTGGAAGCATTATTTTTGGGTATGCAGCGGCGTTCCTCAAACATCAGGGGGTCGATTGTGCAATGGATGAGTGGCCATTCAACATTGCCGACGTTCCTCAGCAAGAAGGAAACCATGATTGCGGTGTCTTTGCATGCCTTTACATGGAGTTGTGGGCGGGTCACCTTCCAGTGGAATATAAAGCAAGTTGGCACAAGCAGCCACATGTGCAGGAACAGCGAACACGGATTGCAGCCAACCTGCTTTTATGGGAGCATAACCGCCGCAAAGATGAAATAGTTGAAGGTGCAATAAAATGTCATGCGAAGAAGGAGAAGGAGAAAGGGAAAAGGAAGAGAAGGTGATTTTAGATTTTAGTTTGTAAAACTGAACTTAGGCTTGGATGGAGGATATTTTGCAAGATGTTGGATACAATTAGCATGTTTATTTAAACAAATATCATGCTTATTTAAACATCGATGGAGCAAAGTGACAGACAAATATCCTTACAGCCCAGAAAAATATCATGTTTATTTAAACAAATATCGGCAAGCTAATAGACAAATACCCTTACTGACCAGACAAATACCATGTTTAGTTAAACAAATATCTCCAAAGTGACAGACAAATATCAGAAAGACCCAGACCGATATCCGAATCATCCAGACACATATCCTTCTTTTGTAGACTAATATCTTTGGAGCCCAGACTTATAGTAAATCTACATCTGTGCATGTGAATAGTGAATAATATCATTGATACAACACATATATGTACACATCTCTGAATAGTGACTAATATCATTGTACTCGCTTCGAAAATACTGATATCCAGGAAGCCCAGAATAATATCTGTACATTCTACAACACATATCAAGGTTGCCCAGACAAGTATCCTAAGAAAGTGTATTAATATCCACTGCAAAACAAAAACGTATCCTGGAATCACATGTCAATTTTATATCACAGTAGACCACTCTCAAACCACCCTACATTCTATTCATAACCATTGAGCAATATTATCATCCAAATCACTAAGATGACCATCCGAGTGAGCAGTGTCGTCCGCCGTGACCACTTCAATGGATTTCATTCTCTTCCTATATTCACGTTTCTTTCGACGACGTTCCTTTTCATTCGTAGACTTGTAACGTTCCTTACCGTGCCTCCTTGGATTACTCTTCTCCTTCAAAGTCAGCCCAGTTATCGGTACAGATCGTCCTACAATGTTAGAGAATTTAGTAAATGCAATGATATTAAACTCTAACAATTTACAAATGTTATTAGTGAATATACTTACTGTCCTCGCTAGTTATAGTCTTTGACAATGCCTTGTTTGCCTCATTGCACACTTTCTTGAGTACTCCCATCCACTTATTGTAGTCCTTCTCATCGGCCATCGACATATTCATTGCTAGCTGATTCAACATTGCAGTGGTTTCCCGGTACCGCATTGCTATACCTTTTCCCGCATCATTCTCACTGGGAGCTGAAGGACCAACAGAACCATCGACATCAACAACTTCTCTCTCTCTCGCCTCCAACGTCCATCGCTTGAGTATGTAATGATCCGGAATACTTCTCATACTTGCTTCCCCAAAATCTCCAAGAAGCCGCATCACCTTAATCATGTGGCGGCATAACACTCCTAAAGTTCTGAACATTCTGCATTCGCATACCAAGGTCGTCGTAGAAATATCTACGAGGACGACACGCTCATCACTACGCTCACCATCCTCCATCATATATATGAGGTAGCCAATCATGCCATCATCCCTATTATCTGAGAGCTTCTTTATTATATAGGATTCAGCCACCAAATACTGCTTCTGTATCTTTTCGAAAATTTTAGGAGTAAAGATTTTTGCCGCATGTTGGAGGATCGGGCTATTCTCCAACATTATATAAGGAATCGATTGTTTTGCATTGTAGTCTGACTCTGTCTCCTTGCGTCTTTTGTCAGCCAACAAACTACAATTAGGAAGCAAGAGAAAAGACTTAAGTGCCCAGACTAATATCATCACGGACTCGTAATAATACCCAGAAAAGATAAACAAATATTTAACCATACCAGAGAAATATCCAAACTGACCAAAAAAAATATCCAACTCTAACAGACTAATATCAAAGAAGGGAAAAGTCATATTGCGCGTGTGTACCTGCTAAAGTGAATGAAAAACAAGTCCAAATCATGCCTCGGCTTCAAGAAAAGTCGCACTTGTGCATTGCACGACTCACTAGCTTGCGTAGTCAACATCCCGGCTGTGAATTGATCTCTCAACCATAAAGAACACCATCGATGACGAAATTTCTTCAAACGTTCCAACCATTGATGGCCATCCGCAATGTCGCTATTTGGGAAACAATCAGAAACCATGGTGCTCCATGCCATGTTGAACTCTTCCTCGCTGTCGACGTCATAGAAAATAAATGAAATATGATGTTGGAACTTCTTCCAAAATGCCTTGTCCTTGCGAAGATGCTTCTTGGCATTCATGAGGATGTGCCAAGTACAGAGGGCATGAAACGCAGTAGGCCACTCATTTCTAAGGGCAGCTGCCATGGCTGCATCCTGATCAGTAAATATAGTGATTGGAAGCTTATTCTTCATGCATCGACTAAATGCAACAAACAACCATTCAAACGACGGAGTAGTCTCGTCATACATCAAACAAGCACCAAACACACAAGTTTGGCGGTGGTGATTGAAACCTACAAACATCCCTGCACGAGACAACTATTAATGACAATGCATAACCGAACAAGTGTCGAAAAAACTCAAACGAATCAATATCAGTAAAGCCCAGACTAATATCCTATGAAAGGTTACCAATACCCGTCGTGTTACAAACAAATATCCTGGGCATCACATGTCAATATCATACCACCAAGGACCAATTCTATTCATAACCATTTCTGCAATATAATTAAAAACATCCATGCGAAAGAACTCAAGGGAATTAGGGGATTAACGTACCCAGTGGACGGAAGTATTTATTGGTTCGGAAGGTGGTATCAAAGGAGACCGAATCTCCAAAAAGCGCATAATCTTCACGCATCCTACTATCCGCCCAAAATATATTAGCAACTTTCTCTTCGGAATCCACCTCTACAGCATAAAAGAATCCAGGATGCTTGTCCTTTTGGTCCTCAAAGTAGTCCAGCAAATAAGTCGCTTCACCACGAGCCATTGTCCTTTGCCTTTTAGTGTTCAAGTGATTCTTCTGATCGGATTTGGTAAATCTCAGATTTTGATACCCACCAGCACAATCAGCCAATAACTGATACGATGCACTAAGACTCATCCCGGCATCGCGATTAGCTTGAGCCATCTTTTTCTGAGCATCACTCATGCGCTTGTTCGACTTGTGCAAGTGCATATGCTCGGTAGAGTGTAAAACATGACTGTGGGCTTCTACGAATTCATACACCACAAATCCCTCCCTAGCAGCATTCCATCCAAAACGAACACGGGCTGGACATCCATCCCTAACTCGAGGCCTCTTTCTTTTGCAAACCATTCTCTCCTCAACCTTGTCTTCCGACTGTATCTGATTATCCATATTGACTTTGCTTGTGGAAGTCCAGCCTTCCTTATTACAAAAGTAATAAAGGTATGCATAATTTTTCTCCACCACTCCTTTAGAATTCTTGATCTTTCTTATGTGTTCCCATCTATTCGAACACCAAACCCTTTTTTGTGAGCGTAGCGCTTATAGAAATCAAAACACTCATCCTTAGTGAGATAAAAGATGTTCTTCCTCGCTTCCTCGTCTTCTAGATCCAACGTCGTATGAGCTGCGAGTTAATGGTATGAGGCATGTTATTATCCATTCTTGACCGCAAACTGTTAGAATACATAGGCTTCAACAAATATCCAGAATTCAAATAAATAATATCTATAACTACCAGACAAGTATCAAACAATGCATTAAATAGTGGTTCACACACCAAATATCATGTTTCGTTACAGTCCAGACAAATATCATGTTTCGTTAAACAAATATCGGAAAGCAGATATACAAATATCCATACAGCCCAGACAAATATCATGTTTCATTAAACAAATATCGGCAAGCAAATATACAAATATCCTAGAAGCCCAGACAAATACCATGCTTAGTTAAACACATATCTTCAAAGAAACAGACAAATATCCGAAAGATCCCGACAGATATGTCATTCTCACAACAATTTCAACATCAAACACCCATAACCCCATCAACATCATTCAATGCTATTCTCACAACAATCTCAACATCAAATATTCAATGCAACCAACCTGCATCACAACAACACAAACATATAAAGAACTCAATCAACCTTTATCTTCTTCTTCTTCTTCGTTGAGGGCAGGAGCACCACTTGAATCTTCATCAACAAACTCATATGATGTAGGATAGAGTTCTTCTTCTTCACTATTTTGTGCGATCGATTTACCCTTCATTGGAGAAGATCCTTGATCATCCAACTCCCCATTGTCGTCGATCAGCATCGTAGAAGGTCAGCGGAAAGATGGTCGCCGGAAAATAAGATGGTCGCCGGAAAAAACAGTTGGGCGGCGGCTCTCTTCCTTTGGAAGAGAAGAAAAACAGAGAAAAATGGAAGAGAGAGAGGCAATTTTCGGGTTTGGGTGGGTAGGGTAGTTGGGAGCATTAAATTCCTCCACTTTGTATGAATTTCCTATTTTTGATTTTTGTTTCCCCAAATAAATGACCCACTTGGGCCCCTTCTTTCCATTTCTCCCCCCTTGCCACCTAAACCCTACCAAACCGCCACCATCAGCTCCATCTTTCATCTCAGCTGGGCTAAAAAACCCACAAAACTCCACTGGGCCGTGTCAGTATCTCCACAAATATCCAAACAACACAGACAAATATCCAAACGACACAGACAAATATCAAAAAAAGACAGACTAATATCCAGTCTCAATAAAAAACTATCCAAACCAGCCAGCCCAAATATCCGAACGTCGCGAACTAATATCCGTTCAGCCCACTCGGGCTTGCGGTGTCCGCCGGGCCCACTAATTAAAAAACCAAAAAACAAAACCCTAAACCCTACCCCTTTTAACGTTCTTCCCCAATTGCCAAATCTCTCCCTTTATCGCGAATGAAACAACTAGTTTTATCGCGATTTATCTATCAAACGACTCTTTTCATTGGGTATAAAAAAAAGACTCTTTTTATCTAATATCCGACTGTCGCACTAATATCCGTTCTCCATTACAATTAATAATTAAACCTTTAACCCTAAAAAACATTCCTAAACCCTAACACTAACACCCTAATCACTTTTCCAAAAAAGGCCTATTAGAATATCGAAAAGTCCAAGAAAATTTCGAAAACATGAACTAATATCAATTCAAACCTAAGCTAGACCCTAAACCCTTAACCCTAAACCATAACACAAACCATAAACCATAAACTATTATTATTTAATGGGCCTTCGGCCCATGGGCCCTCGGCGGGCAGCCCTAACTAAGGTTGCAAGCCTTACGTGTTAGGACTTCCTAGTGTGTTTAATTTCCTAGTGTGTTTAATTTGATGTAAGAAACAATATTCCAATCCTTCACAAATTGAAAACCAAACCATAAACCCTAAAACTTAAACTCTAAATTGGTGTAATCAGTTTCGGGTGGTTGGGTTATTTTGGGGTTTGGTAAATATTAATTTAATGATGGCTACTGAAAACAAATAAATATCCAACACAATGATTCAAAGTAATATCAACACAACACATAATAACATCCACTGAAAACAAATAAATATCCAAACAAACATACATATATATCACATAGGGCCCAAAAATTTCATTCTCTTTCCACTCCAACCCAAAATCCCGCCCAAACTGAAGCCGGGCCCACCACGCTTTCCACTCCAACCCAAAATCCCGCCCAAACTGAGGACGGGCCCACCACGCCACGAACTCGGCTCGCCTTCTGCGCCGCACGCTGGGCCTGCTTCTACACGGAAGCCCATCTCCAGCTCATTTAAGTGAGCCACCACTCTCCTCCGTTGGATGAAGCCCAAGCACACGTGGCCCAAAATCAGACCCTATCAGTATCTCCTAACAAAATGGCCTGTTAGGAGACTAACTTTTTCGCCCTTCTCACCTTCAAATCCGTACTGAGAACACCAGGAACAGAGAGGAAACAAAAAAAAAAAAAAAACCTGAAGCAGTCTTGGAGAAGACTATTCTGGCGATCAAGGGAGGGATTTGAGGTATATTGAGTTGAAGACGATTCTCTCTCTCTCTTTCCTTCTCTCCCATCCCTTCTTTGATCATCGGTATCTCATTTCACTCTCTTTGTGTGTTGCAGAGATGCTGGCGATACCTCTCTCTCAGTTCTCTCAACAACAACATATCATCTCATCTCTTCCTTCTCCTCTCTCTCTCTCTCTCTCTCTCTCTGTCTCTCTCTCTCTCTCATCTCGGACCCGAAGTCGTTGCGAGCGATCAGGGAATCATCAATAACCCGCCGGTTATGGGAGTCCCTCTCCGACGAAGAGGAGATCCGGAGATAGCGCAATGTAGAGTCAAATCGTCGATAACCCGCCGGTTAGGGTGAAAATCTCCTCTCTTTCTCATCTCAGTTTCGTGGTTGTTGCGAGCGACAAGAGAATCACCCAGAACCCACCATTGACAAAATCCATCTCCGGAGAGACAAGATTTGGAACAAAGAATCAGGGAGGGTACGAGGAAGATCCAGATTGTGGTTGCGAGCGACTAGGGAATCTCCCAGAACCCGCCAATGACGAGAAGCCGAAGACAAGATTTGGAAAAATGAATCAGAGAGGGTGTGGGGAAGATCCACATAGCAAGGCATCATTGTAGCTCACTAATCTCTGGCAGGTGTGAATTCCTGTGTTTTTTATCAGTTAACTTCGAAGATTCTTTTTGTTTAGTGATTTTTGCCTCTTTTCCCATCAACTTCCAGGTCCTTTGTTGTACCCTCCTGATCGAGGGTTGAGTGACGGATTTGAGGAAGCTCCATCACCCACAGGCGAGCCGGGGGAGAGCTCTATCTGCCAATTCCGGTGAGCGATCAAAATTATATCTGTGAGCATGTGTCCCTTATATAGAGTTCAGTGGCCATGGACCATTGTAGATGGATTAACAATGCTAGTAGATGGTTAAACAATGGCGGAGGGAAACCATAAGAGAGGGGTAACCACAATTTATACATCTCAGTTGAGTCACCTCCCTCTCCTTTGCAATTGGTTCCCAAAATTTTATCTTTTTTAATGTCTCATTGTTTTGCTGCTCTTGTGAAAAATTTGTGGTTGTGTTTCAGTTGCTCTTTCTAGATCCTTTGATTGGGGTCGAGTTGTCTGGATGTGATTGGAACGTATATTGCTGATGCTTCTTTGGAACTCGATATGATTATAGTTATGGCTTTAAATAGCTGGAGTTGGCTGCTGATATTGATATTTAAAAATTAGTAATCCTTTTCCTCATATTTTGTTTGTCAACCTGAGTCTTCTTTTGGAGTTGGTATGCTACTAGAAAAGTAAATTTTTTGCAGCTATCTAATGATATGTTACTATGTTAACCTGAGTCTTCTTTTGATCCATTCTAGGGCTACAGTTGGCGCAGAGATGAAAATGCAGGTGAGGTAACAGAGAGTCTTGGTAGAACTGCAGACTATCTAATGAGAGTGGTGGATGCAGTGTCGAAGAAAGAGCTTTACAAGAGGTTATTTGACTTGAGCAACATTCACTATAAATGGGTTTTCGATATTACAATGATTCAGTTTGTTGTCTTTTTATTTTTATTCCATTGGTTATTCTATAGAATTAGTGATATGATTTACTTCTTTTTTTTTCCAGTTTCTCATGTGATATTTCTAATTGACATTGTTGAGAACTTATGGCCTTTATTTCATGTGCAGTTTATACATATGTTTGCCTGATATCTTCCAAGGATCTTCTATATTGTTTTATGAATTAATAAGTGATTAGAATATATAAAAAAATGAACCAAAGAGTGCCATATATAATTATAGAGGAGCTTTGCCAGAGTTGGAAGTCAGGAAGAAGTCCTAAAAGTTCTGGAAATTAAGCAAAGTTTGATAAAAGTAACAGAGGTGTTGCAACGTATATTCGTGGTTAGTGGTTAGTATGATCCTTGGATGTTATATGGAGATTTGATAGCAAGTCTGTAGAATGTAGGAATGGTGTCACACCTCTTTTGTTCCTCTAGAAAGTATGTTGGATCTGGATAGTAGTATTTCTAAATAGATATGAAATTTATTGTTTGTTTCTACGTCCATGCCTCGGTATGCAGATTCTTAGTTGTTGTTCATTTTTTTAAGTTAATCACCCTGGTTAAAAGCGTAGACAACTATGGAGTTCAAACTAGGACGAGTCAAGGCGTAGACTATCATGTTGCCAACTAGAAAGTGGTTCCTTTTAATCTTCTTTCTCGTTGTTGTTCGAAAGTTTGTCACCGACATTAGTAATGGTTTTCTGTCCATGATAGGTTTTCACGTATATAATTGTAAATGCCCCGCAATGGTTCATAATTTGGAACGTAACCCGCCGCGGAGCGCGGGCTGATTACTAGTTACCATTTAAGACTAATTTCTTGATCGTTTTTTACTTTGATTACTCATTTTCCTAATATGATTTTGGGTATGGAAATCAGAATATTTGCCACGGGACGAGATACGGTGACAACCCACTTCATAGCCCTTGGATACGCTCTCTCTCCTGTTTCTTTCTTCTTTTTTTAAATTTACGGTTAAGATTAAAGGAAGGATATTTTTGGAAGGGTAAAGATTTGCCACACCCAATCATTCACCCTACCATATAAAAAGAACAAAAATTCTAACTCCTCCATCCTCCCTCTCTCTTCTCCCTCTCTCCCGTAGACATCACCGTCTCTCCTCCCCCTCTCTCCGCCGCCACAGCCCTCCCACCACCGCAGCTCCCTCTTCCTCTCCCATGCCCACCGCCACCCCTGACCTCCGTCGCGCCGGCTGTCCTCACTACCCTGCAGCGCCTGCTGTCCCCGCCGCCCTGTCGCGCCGATGTCCTCGTCGTTCCTGCCGCGCCGTTGTCCTCCCCCTCTCTCAGCCCTGTCGCGCCTACCGTCGTGCCACGCTGACCCCGCCACCATTTTTATGCCGCCGCCGCGAGGTCAAGACTCTTCCCTGCCTCCCTCTTTCCTCATCCCTATTTTTTTCCAGATCTGATAGTCTCTACTGGTACCAATACCACTGGTAGCGCTATTGGTTCGCTACCACTACTCACTGGTACCAATACCAGTGGCTCCCCTAACATCTGGTACCACTATCATCTATTTTTTTTGTGTGTTATTCTTTACTGGTACCGCTACCCATGCTAGTGGTAGCGCTACCAGTGCTAGTTGCGTTGTGTTATTCTCTACTGGTAGCGTTGTACTAGTAGCGTACCACTAGTACTGGTACATTTTTTACTAGTACCGCTAGTACTGGTACATTTTTAACGTACTGGTAGCGTACTACTAGCACTGGTATATTAATTACCAGTAGACTAATAGATTGGCACACTTTTTAATGCATTGGTACATTTTTTCAGGTTGCCGGAGGGAGTCTGCCGGAGAGAATTTGTCGGAGAAAAAGTTTGTCGGTCGATGCGGAGTGGCCGCTGGAGAAAGGAAGAGAGAGAAAGATAGATAGAGATATTAATGTATAGGATTTAAATTAAAAAAAATTGTATTTAATATGGATTTTTAATTTCCAATATAATTAATACAAAAGAGGTAATTAATATATTCCTTTTTTCATACCCAAAATACCCTTGGTTGCGAATCTGACAACTCCCTTAAAGATTGTCACCGTATTCCGTCCCTATTTGCCACTTCTCATCCCGGTCAATGCGGAAGAAGGAACATCCGAGCCCAATAAAACTCATACGTCAATGGCTATATTGATAGAAGGCATTCGGTAATTTATCATGTATTGTAATAGACATTTCACAGAGAACTAGCAAAACTACCAAGTTAGAAAAAAAAAATTGAAAGTTGGATACGGTTCAGAGGGGGAAAATATATTGAGGGATTCAGTTATTGGTAAAAACTCATAGTTCAAAAACGTGAATGTGCTTCCCTCATTGTCGAAGTTGTACTGCAAAATCGTTCATTCGTGTAACGGTTAAACCATAATATCAATATAAAATACACTATTATTAATTTTTCCAAAACAACTTCTTTTACAATTTTTCAATCCTTATATTTTCGGTTAGTTTGTTTCCTTTCATTCCCCTTTGTCCCTGTTTCTTTGCTTGCTCAATTTTGTTTGTCCTGATCCTAGTGTTCCTTACCCTTTTAATTGGAAAAAATCTCATAATACTCTAATTATTAAAAAAAAATTCCTAAATACAGTACTTATAAACTTATTTCCCAAAATACAGCAGTTTCAACATCATTGTTGAAGAGTAAGACAGTGATTATATCACCGCTTTTAACCAAAACAGTGATGCTATCACCGTTTTGGACAAAAACGGTGAAGCAATCCCCGCGTTAGGCAAAAGCGGTGATTGTCTGACCGTTGATAAGAGAAACGGTGAAGCAACGATGACCGTTGATGGAGAAAACGGTGAAGTGTGCGCGGATCGCTAACGTGGACGCGCGCGGGCACTTCACCGTCAAAGAGAAAAGCGGTGATAGCCCCGCCCCGCCACGTCAGCGATCCTTGTCGTCCGCGCCCTTCACCGCTGGCGTTCGATGCGGTGAGGCGCGGATTGTGGTTTTTCTCCACGATCCGACGCCTCACAGGTCGCCACGTCAGCGATCCGAGTCTTCACCGCCTTCCTCCAACGCGGTGAATTCACTACTTTCGACGAAAGCGGTGATTGGTTCCTGGAAATTTCCAGCGCCCCTACCCCCCTATAAATACCACTCCCCCCCCCCCCCCCTCTCATTCCAAACCACACCAAAATTTTATACTTCTTTGTCCCTCCATTACTTCACTCTAGTTTCGTTCTAAGTATGCTCTATGGTTGCGGCTAAGTCCGATCTTCCGCATCAGAAAGAATTACTAGAGTTTTTGTTTTGTCGATACTCTCACTAGCTTTTCGGCAAAAAATGGACGAAGAGGCTCTGAGAGTACGTAAATTTATTTTATTCTTGTGATTTTTTTACATGTGTGCTAAAATCTTTTTTTTTAATAAATGGATGCAGTGCATCCCAGCCTTCATTCAAAACCAAACGGGGTTCAGAGATCCCCTGACAATCGTACATAATGATATTACACAGAGTGGGGTCAGAACAGGAGATGGAGTGATAACCAAGGGGCAACAAATGCCCTCGACTAGCAAGGTGATCGACACACTTATTTCCTTCTCCAAAAATGTGGGAGACAAAACTTCCCATTGATGAGTGAGCAGCTCTTTGAATCTCTAGATAATGGCCGCCTGCTGATGATCTGGCGAGTCCAAGCTACCGAGGAGTTGAACCGCACAGAGAGAATCAAGTTCCACTCTGACACGTCTAAAACCTGTGTCCCATGCCAGTTGCAGCCCCTCTACAGCGCCTCTCAACTCAGCCCGGGTGATAGAGCAACTCCTCAGGTTAATCGCATACGCTGCAAGGCAACGTCCCGTGTGATCTCGAATCAGGCCACCAACAGCTGCATGGCCTGAATTAGTGTGAACTGAGCCGTCAGAGTTGAGAGTGACCCACTCGAAAGGTGGCGGCTTCCAAGAGATCTCCACCTCCGTTCTCATGGGCAGACTAGGTTGGTGGATTAACCTGTCTTTTTCCAAGGCATTCCGCACAACATTTATCCATGCCCGGACGCGCTGTATAAAGGCTGCATTGGTCGTGATCTTGCCTGCAAAGACTCGATCATTCCTGGTCCGCCACAGGGACCAGCAAACAATGCCGAACTCAAGGCTAGTGTGCTCCTATCGAACATGGTAGAGAATCCAATCCTGCAAATGAGGTCTGAAAAACCGATGGTGGTCAGAAGGCTGTATGAACTGCATCCAAGTTAACCTGGAAAACTCACAGTCTCGCAACACATGCAAGACTGTTTCAGGGGCCGCTTTGCACTGGGGGCAGATGTTCGTGGTGGATAGATGTATCCTGTGTCGTTCGGTGTTGGTGAGGAGTCGCTCCCTTGTAGCAAGCCAGAGGAAATGAGTGACCCGAGCTGGCCCTCTCCACCTCCAAATGGAACGCCAGTCAATTGTGTTCCTAGCTTCGCTTCTTTGGCTGCTGAGTTGGTAAGCTGATTTGACCCGGAAACGCCCGTCCCGCTCCGGTCCACAGATCGGGGAGTCCTCGCCATACCCTTCTCTCGGCGGTTGTACACCCAGCACCTGCAAAACAACTTCGGTTTGAACCAAACCGACCGAATGCCCACCCCTATCCAGAACAGACGATGAAACATCAACTCGTTCTGTACTCGAACTTGTTCTTCTGTTTGTACGTTGTTGTACCACGGCACGCAAACCGTCCCGGGGTTGGACTCCTCCATTGCGGACATTGTCTAGGGAGTAAAGCATACGAGTCATCCCAATCACCGTAGACCTCATCCATGGCCTTCTGCTTCCCATGCCACGCCTTCTTATACCTTATGGTGTAGGAATGTCGATCCTTCACCTCGGCCATGATAGCTTTTATCTTGATATTTGGTTGTGCCTCGATTAGGTGCTTAATGGTTCTAGCCACTTTTTTTGCTTTAAGTTGCCGGTGATCTTGTGAAAGTATGGTTGAGGAGCATCTGTGGTTGTTCTCTACTGTTCGCATGACCCAGACGCCCTTTCTCTTCATATATGCAGCCCGAAGTTGCCACATACAACCCTCTCCAGCATTCTTACAAATGACATGCAGTTGTTTGGTGTCAGAATATTTTACCTTCCATTCGAAGTTACGCCGCATGGCTTCTTCGCTAAAAGCATCTTGCACATCGGCTTTCGAAGTGAACGCCATACCCGCTTCCAAATTAGCAGTCGGATTATACACATGCATGGGCCGAAAGTCAGGGCCATCGTTCTGACCATATAAAAATTGATCAGGAACCTCTGTGTAGTAAGGCGTTGGTGCCTGACGGAACGCCACCTCTCTGTCATCGATATCGTCGATATCGTCCGTATCTTCCTCCTCACTGACTGAACTCAAATCTTCCTCACTTTCATCATCACTGGAGGCGAATGGATAGCTCAACTCAGGATGGTCATCGTTACCAGCATAACCAACATCGTCTTCTTGGTCATGCGAAGTACGCCCAGATCGAAGGGTGTTCTCAATGTCAGCCCACTCTGGACCCCAAGCAGGCCATTGATCACCGTCGGGCTGAACGATATCGACGGAAGTCTCAGCATGTTGCAGGTATTCTTCCCACCCAACACCTCCTTCAGAACTACCTCCTCCGTAGTTGCTTGAAGTACCACCTCAGCCATACCCTCCTGCAGAAGTACCTCCTCCGTAGTTACTTGAACTACCACCCCCAGCCATACCCTCCTGCAAAACCATCATCACAAGAATACTGGTGAGAATGAGTTTCACCGACCGGCTCGGTCTCGACATACACCTCTGCAAGCCGCACCCCGTTGTTAGATAGGAACGGTATCATCATGTTCACCGAGTCATCATCATTTATGACAACTTTTTCGTACATGATTCCGTCAGCACTCATGTTTGGATAGCGGTAAGCAATTTGACCAACTCTCCTTTGCCCGCCCGTACAAGTCCTTTCTGCACAAATGTCATGGAGTTCTTGCCACGAGAATCTCGACTCAATTTTTAGCATAGTGGATTCGCCATTTTCATAGTCGATCCCAATGTTCGAGTTTGTCACCCGACCATTCCACCGAATAATAAGCCGTAACTTCTTAAATTTACCCATGTCTGCAATTTATAATAATTAAGTATAGTATATAATTAGTACATTAGGGATACAAAAACAATATCATCCAAACCCATAAACAAACGCAACTAATTGATCTATCATGAGAAAACTAAAAAAATTCATCTAAATTCATAACTAACTAACATCTATCATATCATAATTAATCTAAATATATCATAACATATTTTCCAATAACCGCAATTCACTAAATACATCTATATAATTACTAACACATCAACATGTAAACAATACATAATTATAATATATCGAATCCTGATCTATCATGAGAAAACTAAACAAATTCATCTAAATTCATAACTAACTAACTGACAGCTATCATATCATAATTAATCTAAATATATCATAACATATTTTCCAATAACCGCAATTCACTAAATACATCCATATAATTACTAACACATCAACATGTAAACAACACATAATTATAACATACCGAATCCCGATCTATCATGAGAAAACTAAACAAATTCATCTAAATTCATAACTAACTAACTAACATCTATCATATCATAATTAATCTAAATATATCATAACATATTTTCCAATAACCGCAATTCACTAAATACAGACATATAATTACTAACACATCAACATGTAAACAATACATAATTATAACATACCGAATCCCGATGAGTTTCTTGAGCAGTAAACCAACTCCAAACCAGCTGAGAAAACGACCAAAAAACACTAATTTTTGTACTAATTTGCTGTAAGGCAGGAGGAGGAAAGTGGGGGTCAGAATTTATAGGGAAAAATGCCAGCTAATCACCGCAGTGGACAATTGCGGTGAACACATCATCGCTTTTGTCCAAAGCGGTGATAGCTAGGTCGGTGTGACCTAATTTTTCACCTACCAGGGCTCTAAAACATGGTCAATTATCACCGTTTTGGTCGACGGCGATGATGTGATCACCGTTTCGCACAACAGCGGTGAGGCAATCACTGTTTTGGACAACAGCGGTGATTACTTCCCCGTTGTTTTCGAAAGCGGTGATGTGTTCCCCGTTGTTGTCAAAAGCGGGGATACCTTCCCCGTTTTGGACTAAATCGGTGATCAACATCACTGTCGAAGACAAAGACAGTGATATTAAAACTGCTGTACTTTGGAAAATAAGTTTATAAGTACTGTATTTAAGGAATTTTTTTTAATAATTAGAGTATTCTGGGATTTTTTTCCCTTTTAATTTCCTGTCATTTTCCTGTCGGTTCTCAATAAGTGGTACGTAAAAAAATCAAGAGATCGAATCTTTCCAGATCTGGCTTCAAAATATTTAGCTCAAATCAAATGACAAAACACCATTATCAATCCGCTTTCGTTACAATAAACGCCGCGCAACAGAAGAATCCCGAAATTGGGATCTCTTTTATTCACACATCATCAAAAGGGAAGTACTGTTATCCAATTACCAAAGCATGGGAAATTGAGGTACAATTTCTTCCTCAGATCTTAAGCAGCGGCAGATAGGTGTTACCAATGCCCTCGTTGTACGACCCGACGAAGAACTCCCGAATCTTTGTTTCTCTATACTTGGCAGGATTCTCTTCCGACAACAATTCCTTTATCGGTCCATACGATCTCATAAGCAACGGAGACCCATAGCCGAAAAACGCACCAACAGATACTCTTGGCTCCACGCTGTTCACCACCGCTCTGTGCTTCACGCTCTTAAACTTATCATTCGTTATCAGCTGTAAAAAAATTAAATTATAAAAGTGGTCAAAAATCATACATGAACCTTTCTCAATCACTCGAGTCATTAGTACCATCAGTCGGTTTACGACATATTGGTATAAGAACCCTAATTTGTCCTTGTTGAGATCACCTGTTTAAATCCTCATAATCCTAATATTAACTCTCTCGTCTTTCAAGCACATGGTACAGCTAACCCTATACAAACTTTAAATTCATTAGTTGACTTTCTTTGAGGACAACGCAAGAAAGTATCTCTTTCAAAAACTCAAGTTATTAGAGTCAGTGATCAATTACCTGAAGCATATCTCCGATGTTGACCACCAGAGCATCCGGCCGCGGCGGCACATCGACCCAGAAATCCCGGTGCAGCACCTGAAGCCCACCAACATGATCCTGCAAAAGCACCGTAACAAACCCCAGATCCGTATGATTCGTAATCCCCAGCGTCAGCTCCGGCTGCGGACACACCGGATAGTAATGGCTCGCTATCCCCAGATTCGCCGCGCACTCCATCCCCTTCAGGTGCCCGGGATCCAGTCCCAGAGCCTCTGACAACAACTCGAGTAGCAGGTCCCCGAGCTTGAACATCTCGTCGGAGTACTCCCTCAGCACGTCCCTCATCGTGGTGGGGAGCTGCTCCGGCCTGGGAGGGTCGGGGGCCATGTCGACCAGCATGAGGTCGCTCCAGTCCCGCTCGTTGGTCAGATAGACGACTTTTCCGGTAGGATCGGTCCCGAAGAATTCTTTCTTCTCGGAGATGTCCTGGTGGAAGAATCGGTGGACGCTGTCCTTCATTTCGTCCATGGTGGTGACGGGGACGCCGTGGTTGATGATCTGGAAGAACCCCCAGTTTTCGGAGGAGTCCCTGATCTTGTCGACGATGTCTTTGCGGCCGCCGGCGAGGTCGATTACGGGGAAGGTGAGGTCGAGGTTGGCGGCGGAGGCGGTGGGGTTGTCGTGGAGGAAGTGCGGCGGGGTGTGGAAGATGCGGGGGAGCTCCTTGATGCCGGCGTCCATCAGGCCTTTTACGCCGGCTTTGGTTTCGAGGTAGGCTTTCTGCTCCGCCGCCACCAGGGGGTCGTAGGTTGCATGGACAAATTCGGTGGAGGCCGCCGCCATTGTCCTTTTTTCCCCCTTCTTCTTTGATATCTTTGGTTGTGGCTAAGAGTTTCTTAAGCTTTGGTGATGGAACGAATTGGGATGAACTGCAAGCGGGGTTTTTTTTATAGACGAGCAGCGAGAGGGTTATTTTCTCTCTCTCTCTCTCTCTCTCTCTCTCTGTTTGTTTTTTCTTTCGTGTTTTGGAATATTTTTTATGTGAGCTTGATTGGAATTTAAAATTGCAACCAGCCAATAATGGCAACAGGACGAAAGTTACATGCAGGACCACCACGTTTTGTTGGCGCCTTCTGCTCCGACAAATGATGCATTATCGAAATGGATTCAATTATTATAATTGTACAATTTTTTTTAAAAGAAACAGTATAATAGTTAACTTTTTATATTATCAAACAAACGTTAGGTGATTCTGACTAGGCAAAATTATGTTCACGTGGATGCGTTGATATGGATGTCGCATTCTGACATATAATAAAAAATGTAGATAAAAACAGTATAACTATCAAGGTTCTAAAAGGCGCTAGGTGTAACGTGTAAGGCAGGCGCTCGGCTCCTGACTTACGCCTTGCCCGATTAGACGTAGCCTATGCGCGCTTAGGCGTTCAGAACATAAATGGAAAATTTCTCAAATATTTCATGTTTTCTGGAATAATTCATATAATCCAAGTGCATATAAAATTAGCAATGCCTAGTTCTTAACAGTAAACACTTAACATAACAAATAACAAGCAAATAGTGACCAATCATCTGCTAATAGGTGCTTATAGAGGCAAGAAGCTTGTGCTACGTACCGAGGAGAAGGAAGGAGCAACAATTGGTGAGTTTCGACTTTATTTCACACTATAGCAGCGGAGCGGTGTGAAGGCGAGAAGAGTGATCGATGACTTTCTCCTGCGGCGGCAGAGAGCAGCAAATGGGGCGAAAGCTAGGGCGGCAAGCGGTAGCAGATGGGGCGAGAGCTAGGGCGGCAGGCGGCAGCAGATGTTACTTTCTGTGTTTCTGATTTTCTAGGGCAAGAGGCAAGTTTCTGATTTTCTATGACAAAACGAAGAGTATTGGGTTTAACCGCCTAAGCTCGCACAGGAACGCCCAGGCACGCCTTCTCTCCACTAAGCACAAACTAAGCGCTATTCCTACCTACTAAGCACCACCAGTGCCTTTTACAATGCCTATGGCCAAGTCAAGGCGATCCTCCACCGCCTAGCGCCTAATTGAGCCTAGGCGTGCGCCCAGGCTCGCCTTCTTGAACCCTGATAACTATAAGGTTTGCAAACCCTTTCTCTTACCCAAAAGGTTTGCAATTGTGATTTTTGTTTATAGAACCCGTGATTTTTGTTTATAGAACACTAGATAAAGCCCCGCATAATGCTGCGGGTGACATGCAATTGTGATCGGATACATAATATGTTTTCAATTTTCTCTTTTTTCCTTCTATCATACAACTCCACATTTTAGCAATGTTTTTGACGTAATATCTTAGTATCGCTCATCATTGCTCTATTATATGGTTATTAGATGGTTGTCACGATCGTGGAATGGGGTAGGTTGAACTTAGTATAATCGGTGTCAGTAATAAAATTGACCCAAATACCATAGGTATGACTAGTATGATTGATTCCGGTCTCTAAACTAAATTTATGTCAGTTTAGTGAATTTAATTAATAAAAATATTAATTTGTGATTTATTTCGTGAATCTAAATATCGCATACTTATATTTTTTTCAGATTCAAATATACAATTTTGGATATTGACCTTACATGTTGTATTTAAATATGAGTATTTTTATTTTCTTTATAAATTGTATTTTATTTAAATAGGAATGCAATAGTGTAACCATGTAAGTAGATTGTATTAAAATATGTTTATATATATAAGCTTAAATTCGTTTGTTATTAATATTTTTGTCACCTTTCTAGATATTTTGCTAAACTGTTATAAACCGGTTATACTTCAGTTGAATCATACCATTTACTAAATCGACACAACGGTATAAACATGTTTGACACTCTTGCTCTATTATTGTTTATTGATTTAATTGCTACCGTTTTATCCAAAATAATATCAGAAAAAGTTAAGGAACAACAGTAAGAATTCGATTATAAAAAATTACAATAAGAATTCCAAGGCCACTTACTTTATCCTTTTTTTTTTTACTTTACAAATGGTGTTGGTGTGGGTGTGCAATGGTTTTATCAAGTTTGGACCGAACCAAACTCATGAGAATTGCTGTCTAATAGTGAAAGACATCTTAGTACCAAGTATCGGACCAATATTGCATTTCGTCTGATTTGTTCAGGTTTGATCCGGTCCAAATGTCACTTCAGTCAATTTTCTTCAATATTTATAAAAGTAATGATAACCAAGAATTGAGTTACATTATATTCGATTCAATATCGTCCGATCCAAACATCACTTCGGTCCAATGCGATAGTCGGATTGGATTAACCCGCTACTGACTCCTAGGCTAGGTGTGGATGTCTCCTACTCTCGCCACCACTCACCACATTCCTTTTCTCTTTTCTATTCCTACTATTATTAACGGTTTCCTAAAATTAAAATGCATTCAGTGTTCTTCCACTTCACAATAATTAAAAACTAGCTTATAACCCGGCCCTTTGGCCGGAATGTTCATATTTGATTATTTGTATTTTTATGTTACTGTTAAGTCTATTAACCCGTTTAATTTTATTGATAATCATTCGATCGAAAATGATACATAAAGAAATAATATATAGGTCGAACATTCGGAGAAATATCATAATCATTTAAGAATATAAAATATAAAAATGTATCATTGACCCCATTTTCATAATGCTAATTAAGTCCCTGTTAAAATGCTATTGGTTAGTTTTCTTTGACAGTCAAGAAATATAGAGTATAAAAGCTCACTGAAATTCTCACACAACCCATAGATAGTTTGAAACTAAATCTTAAACCTCACAATCCTATATAAAGGGTTCAATGCTCTCCTTTTAGAAACAATATGTCACTAATCAAAAGAAATGGAGAGTTGTTGATTCAAGTCATCTATATACTAAAAACTCAGCTAAGAGGGGACCATCACAACTTGAGAGCAAACGAAAAAATCAGGGTTATCTCCAATATACGAATAGACTCGATCAAAGTAATAAGGCGCAAAATTAGACACTCCTTATCTATTAGTTCCAGTAGGTTGAATAAAGAAGCGACCTATTTCAAACAATCAATCAATGATTCCTCGTTTTAAGATAGAAATAAGTTATGACAGTTGCAAAAACCATAAACCTAAAGATCCAATAGCCACAACTCTCCGTTGTACAACCAAATTTCTATCTCAAGAGGCATATATTCAACCAAAAATTCAATTTCTAATCTTCTTTCTACAACTTCAGTTATTGATGAACTCCATTCTATTCGCCATGAATTGATATCGGAGTTGAAATCTTCTACTCGCCCAGTTTAAAATCCCCAACAATAAAACTGTAGTGCCAAGAGATACCTGAAGATTGATTTTCAATGACAGTCATGTACTGGGAAGTGAAAGGCGCAAACTATTGCACGATGGATGAAATTTCGGAGGAAGTTAGAAAGAGAAAAGAACAAAGATAAAAAAACACAAAATTTAAATTTAAATTGAAAAATGCAAGGATAAAACAGTAGTTACATAATTAGTTTCTTCCATGTTGGCCAATTACCCATTTACCTTTAGCAAAAATTAAGGAGAGAGCGAGAATTTAAAATTGAGAAAATTACATGAAACTCTACTATGAAAATAGAAGTATCAAGCTCGATAAAAATACATACGGTACTTACTAAGCTTGCTAATTATGATGAAAAAGTCCTCTGATTTTGAGAGATTAACTTTGTCTATTTTTTGTATAAAAATGGATGCAATAAATTTGTTTAGTGTAACTGGTTGTGATTGTTATCTTTGTTTGAAGAGACCCGGGTTCAAATCTTGATATTGCTATTTTTATATGAAATAAATAATAAATGTGTAAAGACAAAAATGACCTTCCTACTTTCACTCTCGTTGCAGGAAATTTGAAATGGAGAAAAATATACAAAACTCTACCATGTATTAATGGAGGATTTGATCAAAAGAGAAAAAACTATAAAAAAACCCATAAGCAGGCCAAATCTATTATTGAGCACCCCAAATATTCTTAATGAACAGTAAAACCCGTTTAGCTTTATATATAAAACACATTCCTTTTCTCTTTTCTATTCCTACTATTATTAACGGTTTCCTAAAATTAAAAGGACAATATTTGCCTACAGTCTAGGCTGCAGGGAGTCCCTGCAACTACTCCACCTGGCCAAGTATTATTGGTTGGATTTTGTTTTTATTTTCCTTTCTTTAAGTTATGCTAAATCTACTAACAGACGAGTAAAAACTCTTAACGGAGTATTCTAATAGTAGGCTAATATCGGTTTTTTTTATCTCCCATTCCTTTTTTCCAATGAAATTGAACAAGAATAGAATAACATTTATATATTTCACTTGAGCATCCCATTTTCATTGATGAAATATCAAATATGTAATAAAATAATTCACATTCCTCTAACAATAACAAAACATTTTTTTCGCATTCATCTCTATAATTAAATGTGGTCGGCTGGTGGGAAGTAGACAACAAATTTCATTCTTCTTTTTTCTTAAAAAAGTTTTTAAGTGTGCTTTAGTGTTTCTAAACGTAGAATCGAACGCGATTATAGTTTTATTATATGAAAAATCTTCCTGCAATCTAATGGTTTTGTGGAGGGTGAGAATATTCTTTATAAAAAGTGAATATAGTTCATTCTATCATAATTTCAATCTCCCGATTCGAGTTATCGTACATACACCCTCGTCTTCTTAACCGAACAATACATGGACATATCTTCTATTTCTTCTTGTTTGCAATTAGCAGCTAGCCTCTATTTGTTGTAGGCCATTCAGAGTTGGACGCACATAAGCTCTTCCTCTAAAACATGTTCGGATTTAGGTAATCAATTCGTGGAGCGAGAGAGCGTCTTCTTAGCTAATTTACATAAAATTTTTATTATTGAAAATGAGATATACCAATAAGTTATTATTTATTAAATTTTTTTATTTATATGTAGTCAGATATTCCAAAAAAATTATTTATATTTTTCATATATTCCAATAATATTTATGGGAAATTTTCCAGTAATTTTTGTTTCACACAACATTATTTTGTTATTTTCTTTGATAATTTGGGCTTAATTTGATTGCATCTTTCATTTTTGAAAATGAGATGTTTCTTCTGTAAAAATAAAGTTTTTTGGTTTTTTCTGTAAGAGCACTTCTTTTTGGGAGTTGGGAGTTGGGAGGACTACATGAGAGAGAAGGGAATAGAAAAGACCCCGTGGGGTCATTTGGATCCAGGTTTTTAATTTGTGGGATTTTGGCTCAAATTATTGGTTTAAAAACCCAGATTTTTAATTTGTGGAATTTGTGTGGAATTTTAAAATAGATGATGACCATCAGCTATTTCATAATCCCACAATTGTGGATTTCTGAAATCTCTAATATTTAAAATCTCTTATCTTATAATTGCTTTCCAAACGAGTGATTTTAATTAAAATCCCACACTATATGGGATTGTGCCCAAATCCCACACCCAAAACCTGCATCCAAATGACCCACGTTAGTCTTCTCCTGGGCTGTTAGCGAGATGTAGCATAAACTAATAAAAAGGAAAATTAAAACAAAATCCAACCAATAATGCTTGGCCAGGTGGAGTAGTTGCTGGGACTCCCTGCAGCCTAGACTGTAGGCAAATATCGTCCAAATTAAAATGCATTCAGTGTTCTTCCACTTCACAATAATTAAAAATTTGATCCAAAGAGAAAAAAACTATAAAAAAAAACCCATAAGCAGGCCAAATCCATTATTGAATATTGAGCACCCCAAATATTCTTAATGAGCAGTAAAACCCGTTTAGCTTAATAAATAAAAAAATAAAAAAATAAAAAATAATAATAATATCTTCTGACTTCTGCCCTTTGGGCCTCGTGAAACCCATTAGGAGCTTCACCAAAATCAGGGGTCTTGTTCACCAAAATCAGGAGATGATAGTACGAGCAAAACTACTCTTGAGAGCTCCCACGTCCCATCCAAGCATCATTAACATAGGTTTCCACCTAGTTTGTTCCTCCTGTGAACCAAGAGCCATGAATGAATGAACGCTGTGATTCGTGAGCTTCATATCTCCAATCCAACCACGAAAGTCAATCATCGTACTTCGCACCAGTCGTATTGAAATAGTGTATTGGCAGTACATAGTCTTCGCCTTAAAAGCTACAAAAATATAGATAATACCGATATCAGTGAAAATGATGGAAAACGTGGGGTGGTTGGGTCTCATATATGTCAAATAAATATCATTTTTACGTGTAAAGAAACTATATATAAAAAAAAAGGCAAAGCAGAGAAAAACATACATAAACTATGCATATATGATACGCAAAATCAGATTCATTGAAATTAAATAATGAGGAGATCACACCGGCCCTGCATGTCCCGTAATATTCGTTATTATTTTCCCTACAGCTCAATCAAAATTATCTTCCTTCCCTTCCCTTTGGCAATGGTAACGGTGACGATACTCACAGTCCATTTGTAAGAACGTTTTCAAACTATTGTTAAAGAATTCGAATTTATCTTTCATCACCTATTCCCATGATTTGTAAATGCAACTGCCGGTGCCAATGCTTTTCGTCTACTCAAGCCTTTTTCTGGATTGGCTCTTGGTGATAAGCAACCAGGGGAAGTCAAATCAGGTCATCGACCGATCCTTTCTTCAAAGATTAGCATCCCTCCCTAACAAGACATGCAAACACGAAAAAACATACAGCAGATAAAATGATTAAGTCTTTGATTGAGTGTTGAACTCTTTGCATTTGTTAAATAAACTAAATAACAATTTATTTATAAAATTGTCACAGCATTATGCAATGGTCACAAAAGCTCTGTGCTCATTCCAACAACACCCAACTCCTACGGCTCACAGTACTATGAGAAGTAGGGGGAGGGGGAACTGGGCCAAACCAACCTTGACCCTGCCATTATCCTAAAAAAAACCCGGTCATATAGGGTCAAGCATCCAACTTGACCGGCCCCGACCCTGTACTCCTTTGGCCCTGTCTGGCATGTACGAATAGGGCAATGACCGAGCTTATGGGTCGACTCACATAAATAAGCATATTGTTTTTTTTAATTGTATTTTCGTACCCAACCTTATTTTTTCTTACAATTTAGTATCAAACTTTATTTTATTTACAAAAAGGTTTAGAAATTTTGTGGTAAAATTAAATGTTAGTACTTTTATAAGTTTATTACCTTGGAGTATAGTATCTAAACTTGTAAACCCTTACAAACAAACTTACCCAATTTCACACTCAAAATCACACCGAGACAAGTGAATATTTAGGATCAAACTTAGAGCATCTCCATTGGTGCAATGGCATTTGCAATTGTATTTGTTTTTTTTTTTATTGTTGCTTTATTTTTTTGCAATCCAACTCATCTTACTTGCATTGCATCACATCAATGCAATTAACTTGCAATTGCAACTAATTTTTTTTATTTAATTTAATAAAACATAAACACTCAAATAATAAAATCAATGAATAATTTAATAATAAAAAAGATTATGTGGCTTGCATTCCATAATTGCATTATATGCAAGCTTGCAAAGATGTAATTGTCATCTACATTAATGCAATTGCATAATGTAATTACAAATGAATGTCATGTCATAATGTAATTCTAATTGCAATTCCAATGGAGATGCTCAACGAGTAACGAGGTGGGTAGCAAAATTGTCTCAAGAAATAATATTTCATATATTATTTGCAGCAGAACACGTGACAAGGAGCAGCAGGATATTACTGACCGGACGTAGCCAAGGATTTGGGGAAATCGCCGTGGATCTCGTGGTGTCCGGGCGGCCCCACTGTTTCTGATTGGACGTTCACATGCTTCTGATGGTAAGTTAAAAAATAAATAAACAAAGAAAATGTTAAAAATTATATGGGTGTGGTAGTTGGCTTTGATAAGAATGGGTGTGGTGGTCGCCGTCAGATACGTCGGGCGGGCAGATTTGGTTTCCAGACAGACACTCACTCACCCACCCACCCACTCTTTCGTCGTTTTACACTCATTCACTCACGCATCAATAACAGAACCCCACCCCCCTTTTGGACACTAAACACTCTGTTTGGGAAGAGGGGTAAATGGGAGGAAGGTGCAAATGTGAGGGGTAAACACAGTTTCCAACACATTTGCACCTATTTGGTTAATTTGGAACAGTAGGGGTGTGCAAAACGGGAGTGCAAATTTACTGTTTCGGCTTACCCCCCGAATTGGGGTGCAAGGGAAGGAAGGAAGAGAGGGGGAGGGGGAATTATGGAATTTTATTTTTCTAATTGTGTTATATATAATTATATAATAATTAATATTATCAATTTCTTCATTTTATAAATATCATTCATGTAAACATTATTCGGGGTTGACCATTTGACTCTGGAAACAAGTTTATCAATGTTCGTCAAGTCAAATCTAGATCTCTTGGTTGAATCGAATTTGCATTGAAAATTAGAGATACGAGGTGTTTGTGGAAAAGATAGAGAGAATTTGTTTGGTTAACTCAGTTTATTTGACTAAATAGTTAAAACTTACAAATTCTAACGTGTTTGACTAAGTTTGACAATTTAAGATTAAACTAGACACGAAAATCCTATATAGGATGACCAGTTACGAGTTGAGCTTCGAGTTTTGAGATCGCTCGATCAATGATTATTACAATTGTTATAATTAATTATTATTTGAGCATTATTATATAATAACTATTTTTAGTAAAGTATATTTATTATTATATAGTAATATTTATTTTATTATTTTATGATACTATTTTAAAATCTTAAAATCTTTTTTAAAATATTAAAATCTACTTTAAAATAATATAATTACTTACTTTTCACTCTATTTGCACCCCCTTACTTTTTCATCCAAACAACAATTTACCCCTCCACTTACAACCCCAGCATTTTGCACCCCCCCAGCAATTTACCCCTCAACTTGCACCCCCCTTGCAATTTGCACCCTCCTTGTTGCCAAACAGAGCGTAACTATGTTTGGGAAGGGGAGCAAATGGTAGGGGGTGCAAGTTTGGAGGGGTAAACACAAGTTCCAAGGTGTTTACCCCCGTTTGGTTATTTTGTAACAGTAGGGGGGTGCAAAACGTGAGCGTAAATTCACTGTTTCGGCTTACCCCCCAAATTGGGGTGCAAGGAAAGGAAGGAAGGGAGGGGGAAGGAGGAGGAGGGGAATTATGAATTTTTAATTAGATTATAATTACATAATAATTAATATTATTAATTTTTTCTTATATCTATTTTAGTGTAGAAGTTGTTTGGGGTTGACCGTTTGACTAAGAGAGCAAGTTTGTCAATGTTCGCCTCGTCAAATCGATATCTCTTAGTTGACCCGAATTTGCATTGAAAATTAGAGATAAGAAGCATTTGTTGAAAAGATAGAGAGGAACAGTTTAGTTAACTCGATTTACTTTAATAAGTAGTTAAAACTTACAGATTCGAACGTGTTTGACTAAGTTTGACCATATTCAATTTAAAGTTAGGCACGAGAACCCCCTTAGGATGACCAGTTACGAGTTGGATTTCGAGTTTCGAGGTTGCTCGACCAATGATTATTATTGTTGTTATAAATAATTATATTTGAGCATTATTATATAATAATTATTTTTATTAAAATTATTTTTATTATTATATATTGAATTTTCATGTTATTATTTTGTGATAATATTTTATAAATTGATAAATCTATTTTATAATAATATAATTACTTACTTTTTACTCTATTTGCACCCCCCTACTTTTTCATCCAAACAACAATTTACCCCTCCACTTACACCCTCCACCAAGTTGCACCCCCCAACAATTTACCCCTCAACTTGTACCCCCCTCGAACTTGCACCCCCCTTGTTGCCAAACATAGTGTTAAATAGCAAGCAGTTAATTAATTAACAACCAAATTAACTTAACTGTGCTGATTTACTAAACAACAAAGAAGCGGAGCGGAGGATGATGATGACGGTGGCGCTCTTTCCGAAACGCTCATGCATCCACTAGACCACTACCTTACTTATATCATCGGCTCATTCCCACTGTGCCCAAGAAAGCGGTAAACAATTATACATTGCCTCCCTCCAAAAATAAATCGAGTTATTAAAAACAGTTGGTTAAGAAAGCGGTATATATTGTCTCCTTGATGACATTTACGTGTTCAAGTTCTCACCATCCGTACATTGTTCATTTTTATTAAAACTCATGATATTACGGACCTTTGGAAACTTCAAATCTGTAAATTGGTTTTCACTTCAGGGGCGTGTGTAAGGAAGTGGTTAAGAAAAGATGCATACATTGACCTCTCTAACACCTAGTATTAATGGGACCAATTAGTTTATAATGTCACCCAAACTGCATGAAAAGGTCCCCTCCGAAGATACCTCTCCGCGACTATGAGATTCTTCAATCGCGACATGCTTCATTGAGATTGAGGTAATCCCGAACACTCTTTTACGGTTAGAATTGATTGGGTTATTCAATCACAAATTCAACCCCCGCTCTACGCACAATTGAATCACCATCTTTTTACTTCAACCGATTTTGCATGGATGTATCAATTCTAACAATTGAAAGAGATCGCATCTTTGCTCTCAATTCGTGAATCGCATAAAAGCCATCAATAAATTGTGATAAAACCAAAAATCAAAAGTAGGGTGAAGAAGCAGTGGGGAAATTTTGGCTTGTCTAGATCATCTCTATATATGGGGTGTCCAGGGAACGAGTCAACAAGGACAAGTCATGTGTCTTTTTCTCCAAGAACCCCAAGAAGTAATTAAAGACAAGGATCAGTGATACGCTGGGAATACAACGTACTAACAACCTTCGTCGGTACTTGGGTGTTCTGGTGCTTCACGCCAGAGAAACCAATGACACATACAATTATATCTTGTAGAAGATTGATAAACGCATGTCGGGATGGAAGGCTAGAAGTCTCTCCTTGGTTGGGAAATATTTTAAACTTAATGCTGCTGGTGACATGGTCATGAAGAAGCAAATTTTTGAGACTTTAGAAAGGGATTGTGGAGACCTGGTCGATCATTAAAGAACAGATTGTGTGGGATATCCGGGCGGGTCGCAATGTCCAATTTTGGATTGACCCTTGGCTGGCGAAAGGCCTTACCCTGCGAGATCACACTACTAATGGAGGGGATGTCATCAACTGGCATGCGACAGTGGCAGACATAACCACCAACGATGGTGAGTGGAACTGGCGGGAAATTGAACCACACCTGACTCAACGTTTAATTTCTTTGGTTGCAGGTACGGACCCACCGGTCGCCAACTCCACGGAAGACATCACGACATGGGGAATGGAGACAGATGGAAAATTTAAGCTTCGTTCTGCATACTCTGCTATTGTTGACCTGGATTGGTGATACAGAGCTCAGGGCAGAGGAGGAACCTTCTCATACCCATTGGAAATGACTGTGGAAATTGACGGGACTGAACCACATTAAGCATTTACTCTGGCTTGCTTTCAATGACAGGCTGATGACGAACAGGAAACGAAAGCGAAGGAAGCTGACGTATGACTATACATGCACCTTGTGCAAGAACGGGCCATAGACAACTGAGCACATCTTGCGGCTCTGTCCCAGCTCACCAGCAGGTATATCATAGGCTGGGAATAAATGAGACTTTACTAACCTGCGACCTTGGTTTTACAGCTTGGCTAGAGTCACATCTTGGGAACGAGCGGGAGGGACTCCTCTTCGGAGTGGCAGCTTGGTATCTCAGGAAATGGCGTAATGAGAAAACCTTCCACAACTTGTCTCAAGAGGATCACATTCTGGCGCATCGGATTGGCTGTTGGACATATACCATACGAAATGTTCACTTGAATGATAAAGCTTTCCAGGAGCAGCCCTGGACGAAGACATCCCAACAACTTACGTGGAACCCGCCTCTGGTGCAGTGGATGAGCATCCACACTGACGGCTCGGTCAAGCAACCAGGATCACTTCCAGCAACGGGAGAGCTGATTGGGGACTGGACATTGTGTGGAAGCCTTTGTGGAGAATCTTGGCGTGTGCACTATCACCAGAGCTGAGATCATGGCGGCAATTCGTGGCCTGCAGGTGGCATGGAGGAAAGGATTTCTCAAGGTCCAACTTCACTTGGACTTTACCACCGTTATCAGTATCCTCACCTCATCTGATCAGACAGATCAAAGCTACTTTAATCTAGTCCAACAATTCAAATGACTACTTCAACAAAACTGGGAAGTCAGAATTTCCCACATTTACAGAGAATGCAACAAGGCTACGGACTTCCTGGTCAATAGGGGCCATATTATAAGCATAGGTTTCCACGACTTCAGAATCAATGATCCGGGTTTATCATTTTGGATCTTGTACAAAACCATGGACATTGCCCAAACTCGTTTAATTTAAATAGCAGGCAGGGGCACCCTTTTAACGTCACATCTTTTTTTAAAAAAAAATTATGCTAATTGAAACTTTTGGGAGAGTTGTAACCCGGGTTAATAACAGCACAACAACGTTTGTCTTACAAGAAATCCTTTCTTTGTTTTCTTGTCTACTAGCACAGGACCCGGCCCGTTGGCCGAAAGAATTTCATCGAGTAATGTGATATATAATAATGGATATAATAGATGATTTGAAGTGCATGAAATGATTGTTTTCTACCTTAGTTATGCACATAACATTTTTGAAAGTGATCCAACTATGCATAATGTGTTTAAACCTCCATGAAAAGAGAGAAAATATATAATATAAGCATTACATATAATTATTGAATGAATAAATAAATATAACTAATTGTCATTTATTGTTTAATTAAACCATATAGTTGAATATTAGAGTTGTTTCTCATAATACATACATAATCAACCTTTAGGATGAAACAAAATGTCTCTCATAGAGTTTAGTATGTCCTTTAAGTTTTTCCCAATATAGAGCATTTTTTACCACACAGTTGGTAATGAATCTGAAGTTGCTTGTTTTGAAATATATAGGACATGATGCTAACGTGTCGCTAATAGTTAGCCAGACAATGTGTTGTGTATGGATTTACCAAATTATTCTCATATCGCAGACATGTTTAGCAACAATGTAGTACTTTTCATGCAGCAAATAATTTTTTCATGAAATAATTCAATAAATAAAAACCTGTAAAATTCATATTACATGAAATATATGTTACTCATTAAGTTGATGAATGAGCATATGTATGAGAAGCATACATTATTGTAAAAATATAGAAGTTGTAAAGTGTCTTTTGGGTTGAATGAGATCACATCGTCTTAAAACTTTTGTTTCCACTAGTGTAAAAGAATTGTTGGAACCAAAGGATTGTAAAATCGTCTCCAAAAATTTGGTAGTAGAGTATTTTATACTGAAGTCATAATTTAACAATGGTTCAACGGTTTCATATTGCTAAATTTCACCTATCGATTTAGGCTATGGTCTGATGTTTTATTGTTGAACCGCCGATACATACGATCTTTCAATTCAAACTTTAAATAAATAAAAAAAACACTAAAATATTGACATATCAAATACCCCTTAAACCTAAGAAATTACCATAATCGTATTAAGGAAAAAAAATCCTCCAAATGATAATATTGATTTAGGATTTTAAATTGAAATTGAAATGAAAAAAATCTATCAAATATAATATCTTCTTCTAACATAAATCAAAACTCAAAAGAAGAGGACCAAGAATACCTACTAAGCAAAGCAGAAGAGCACTATCTCATTCCCCCCCTCTTTTAAGTGTGGTCTCTCACTCTCTCTTAGTCTTCCTCTTTGTTTTTTCCGTTTGTTCTTCCATCTCTCTGTGAGCTTTATATCTCTCCACTCTCCCCCTTTCCCTTCCTCTTTCTTCCCATAACGATAGAAATCTAGAACATCCCAATTACTTCTCCAATTTTGAGTTCGAAATTCTTCTTCTCCATTCACAGTCGATAGTGTGAATCAAAGCACCTGAAACCTGGTGAACAAATGGCCGCTTATTCCTTGACGGAGCAAAGTAGTTTGATAGCTTGTGAATAAACTAATTACTAAAAGTGATAAAAAAACAGAACTCGTTAAACCAATCGAGTGAGTGTATAGTTAGTTCATCGCTTAAACCATTTTATTTATCTAAAGAATTAAAATACATAATCAGGTTCATCTTCACTTATTTACATATATTTGTCATACAAATTCATTATACATAAAAAAATAATTTTGAATCTGCATATCAAACTAAATCTCATCTTATGATTATTGGATCTATATGATATGAGCAAAAGGTCTAAGGCTATTGGTCAACTGGGCTAAAAATCAATACTAATTTAAGAATTATGTATCGCTTCATATGTTCAATACTCAAATTCAATATGCAATATTCAAACAAATGATATATGAGTTTCAACCCTTCCTCAAATTTTTTAGACAAAAAAGTCTCCCCCTGCCCTATACACACGCACACATTTGCAAAAAAAAAAAAAGGAAAAAAACTAAATCTCAATTTCTTCTTCGCTTTACATGCTTCTAAAGTTATTGTTGACGTTGTTTGTTATTACTGTAAGTTGTAAAAATGACTTTTCAGCTATGAAGTTAATCAAAAATTATTTTATAAATGAGAGTTGTATACATTGAAAAAGGTTTTAGTCTCAAAATAAACAATTAATGTATTTTATAGACCTTTTAGAATCTGAGTCGTCACAAGTTGATGTGAAAAACTATTCATTAATTCAAATTATATATTTTATTTTTATAATATTTTATTTTTATTAAATGAAGTATTTCTCCATAAAACATGAGTTCACCAAACACGAGTCCTTGAAGTTTAAGTCTGGTATGACCCATGAAGCATTAATGCTTGTACAAGGTCGATCCATATACATTGTCTTCATGGTATGCTCTAACTGTATTATGCTAGCTCGATCATGTGCCTGGGTATAGTTATATGCATTCTAATAATTAAGTTTTTACCTATTCACAACACCAAGATAAATAACAGTCATAATTGCATCTAGTATTTGATTTTGACTACTTAATAAAATACTACATTTAAACCAACTGATGTCACAAATAATAAGTATACCTCTAAATCATACATAAAATATTTCAAACATCATAAATATTAAGATTAAATTAATTATTATAAAGAGTAAAATTGTATAATGAGGTTAATTATAACTCTTTTATATGTTAATGCCCTTAAATTGATCAACACATCCAAAAATGGAGAAATGAACATCACATTAAACCCAATATCGTCTCATTATTGTCGCTCCATTCATGCCCGATTAGCAAGAGGTTTAACGTTTAGCAGTTAACCTGACTAAAATTTATAGAACCAGTCACCTATAGTTTGTAATAAATATTATTGCTTCATAGTTGTTGGGGGTGTTACTAGATACTTCGTGCACAGGCTAAGTAATGGAGCGCACAATCAGCAATGGCAATACTCGGTATCCGCTACAGGTATATAAGGGCTTGAAGCCCTCCAAAGAAGGGGGCTTCTTTCCTCTCCCCTGACTTTCCACTTTCTCATATCTCTCTACACTTTATCTCTCTATCTATTCTCTCAACTCTCTCCACAAACATACACTGACTTGATCGTCAGAGCTTAATCCGGGGGGCAACCCCGGCTCTTTCACAGGTTCTCTCCCTCCCGACGAGATCGGAAGAACGGATGACGAGTCAACCCACACCGACAATCATTATTGTTCCTGCCACGAGCTAGTTGGCACAAACAATTGGCGCCCACCGTGGGGGGGGGGGCAGATTTGGAGATTCATTCATTCGGTTTCCGAAGGAGGGGAGACCCTCAGAATTCGAAAAGCACAGAATCTTGGCAGCTACAGAAATCAAGCAAGAAAGAAGGAAGCACAAAAGAAGCAGGACATGAAAGGTCCAACTCTGGGGGCTTTGGGGAATAAATCACTTCTTCCTCCAACTTGAAGCGAAGACAGTGGTTGTTGAACCCCTACGAGCAAGAAAACGAGGACACCAATGTTAATGGTGCCCACTCTTGTCACCATCAATCATTCTCAATCGACCCGGCTCTCGCCTCTGCTGTCACAGCTCGCTGCCGTCGTCAAGCGCCACCCGATCGTTCTTTTCTGCCAACGCCGGTGACGCGATCTTTCCTCTTTTACTTGCCATTCTGACTCCCTACAGCGGCGAAGAAAGAAGAAACAAAAAGAAACCAGACTTGCACACTTCCACGGAAGAAGATTTGCAGATTGGGAAAACGGGACAGAGGCAAACTGAAGATTAATCGGGCCTTCAATAGCCCAGGACCATGCTACTTTCGTTCATAGTCGGAGACAACGTAAAAGCTCAAAAATCAAAAAGAAAAAGGAGAAAAAATGGACGTGAGCTTTTTCGCAATAATCCAGATTCCGACCGCCGGAGCTCAGGCGGAGCAGTAAACATCACCACTTCTCCCACTGCTCATCTACAGTGACAGCCCAGTCGATTAAGAAAGAAAAGACCGTTGTCTCAGTTTGTCAGTCACACTTTCTCTCTCCCCAAAGAGTGGAATTCCCGAGGCGGCGGACGAGGTTTTCGAGGCAGACGCCAATGATGGAAACGCTTTCGAGGGGGAGAACGCTTCCGATTGGAGTTGGGGGAAACGCCAAAGAACACAGATCACGTGAAGTTTGAGGGCCGCAAAATACGGCCAAAACAGAGACTGCCGTAAGAAGAAAGTGCCGAGCGCTCTTAATTCTGCTAACAGAGAGTCACTAAGCGCAAGAGGGAGATGAATAAATAAAAAGAAGTGCTGAAAGTGAAAAAAGATGGAAGGCAACCAAAAGCGTCGAGAAGCACCAGCCAAAAGAAGGCAATGAGTGGGGACAACTGCACCCGGAGTCAAGGAGGAAAATTCAAAACGGTATGGAATAGGATGCGTTTCAAAGATAATAAGCGCACAACGGCACAAGGCGGCGGGCAGAGATTGGCATGTACAGCCCAATGCAGACCCACTCCAGCGTCCAACCGCATCTCATGTCCGGAAATCCACTTTTACAGCCCACGGCCCACTTAACATTTGGCCTGGTCCGCTTCTGCCAATATGCGTCACCACCCTTCCGCCGAAATCCTTGGCACGCCTGACTGCAAATTCAGCCCGCTCGCTACAACAGGCTCCACCCAAGCCCGATATCCAACTCACGGCCCATATCCTCCTTCTAGCCCGCCTCACCAGGCACCCACCAGCCCGCGGGGCCTAACCAAGTCGCGGCCCGCGCCGCGCACTCCACCAGCCCGCGCGGCCCGCGCCGCGCACTCCTCCCGCCCGCGTCGCACCAGGCGCGACCCACCAGCCCGCGCGGCCCGCGCCGCGCACTCCACCCGCCCGCGTCGCACCAGGCGCGACCCACCAGCCCGCGCGGCCCAACCAAGTCGCGGCCCGTGCCGCGCACTCCACCTGCCCGCGTCGCACCTGGCCCAATCCTTCATGCGGCCCTGACTCCACTTGCGGGCTCGCGTCACGCATCGCACCAGGCGCGACCCACCAGCCCGCGCGGCCCAACCAAGTCGCGGCCCGTGCCGCGCACTCCACCAGCCCGCGCCGCACCAGGTCCAATCCTTCACGCGGCCCTGACTCCACTTGCGGGCTCGCGTCACTCATCCAACAGGCGCCACATCAAAAATATTATTGTCATCGCGAAGGTTCGAACTCGCGTCACTCTTTCGCGTGCCAAGCAACATTACCAGTACGCTACAAACATTGTTTGTGATTCAAAGGTGCAGCGCGCTATTTTAAAGTTTCTCAACTCCAACTCGCGGCCCGCTCTGCTTCTGGCCCAACCCCGGCCCGCGTCCAGATCAACCCACCAGCGCGCCCCGCTCTGCTTCTGGCCCAACGCGCGGAAGTCTTCAAAAATAATTGTTGTCGCCGCGAGGGTTCGAACCCACGCCACTCCTCCGCCTGGAATGCAATATTACCAGCAGGCTACGTGCGAGGCCTTTGTTTCAATGGCGCGACATTTGATGTTTAACTACTCACGCCTAGTCAGTTCCACGGAACAAACAAAAAGTCGCAATAGTCATGAACTATTCGCGCACACTCAGTTCCACGGAACAAAAAATAGCAATAGTCCCGCACTATTCGCGCCCACTCAGTTCCACGGAACAAACAAAAAGTCGCAATAGTCATGAACTATTCGCGCACACTCAGTTCCACGGAACAAAAAATAGCAATAGTCCCGCACTATTCGCGCCCACTCAGTTCGAAAGAACAAAAAATAGCAATAGTCATGCACTATTCGCGCCCACTCAATTCCACGGAACAAAAGTCGCAATAGTCACGAACTATTCGCGCCCACTCAGTTCCACGGAACAAAAAGTCGTCAAAAATATTATTGCCGCCGCCAGGAATTGAACTCGCGTCCCTCCTCCGCCAGACAAGTAACATCACCAGTAGGCTGTACAAGCGCCTTGTGATCCTCAGACGCACCACTCTTATTTTAACAACTTTTCGATCCGCTTCGCCAACATAAAGCTAAGTACTCTGTCCCTCTATCATTATTAAATATTGAAATATTTTACTTGCCTGAGCGTTAATGGCGCTAATGGGGGGCTACACGCCTTAATGGAATACACCAACTGGGGGGCAAGACGCAAGAAGCTGGCACCGCGTCAGTCAAACGCGCCACCAGCTAGGGGGTAACTGGGGTACATAGGGCTCCACCCAGAATTACCGACGAAGATTTAACCAATATATATATATATAAGCTAGCGATGAGTTAAAACTCACCACCAGCTTGGGGGGCAATTGTTAGGGGTGTTACTAGATACTTCGTGCACATGCTAAGTAATGGAGCGCACAATCAGCAATGACAACACTCGGTATCCGCTACAGGTATATAAGGGCTTGAAGCCCTCCAAAGAATGGGGCTTCTTTCCTCTCCCCTGACTTTCCACTTTCTCCTGTCTCTCTACACTTTATCTCTCTATCTATTCTCTCAACTCTCTCCACAAACATACACTGACTTGATCGTCAGAGCTTAATCCGGGGGGCAATCCCGGCTCTTTCACAGGTTCTCTCCCTCCCGACGAGATCGGACGAACGGATGACGAGTCAACCCACACCAACAATCATTATTGTTCCTGCCACGAGCTAGTTGGCACAAACAATAGTAGTTCAGAAAATTTATATTAATTTTAAGAATTCACATTGCTTTTGCATATTGAATACTGCAATTCGGTATGCAATATTTAAAGCATTGAAATTTGTGTTGCAATTTTAAGATTACCCGTCATTTTATAGGTTATACAAAATTATATATTACGTATTAAACTTTGATTTTCAGAATATTTAATAGGCTAGCTAACCCTGATGGAAAAGTCATATGCTTTTCAAATCTTCGTTTAATATCTGTTTATAATTTAAGAAGATAAAAAAATTTGTTTAGTGTAATTGATTGTGATTATTGTTTTTGTTTGAAGATACCATGGTTCAAATCTTGATATTGATACTTTTTAGGGTATGCCTACTATGACATGCATGTCACCGTGACATGGACTTTTCGGTCGACCTATTACTGAAGGCGGTCGACCGAATTGGCTAATTTGGGTAGCACGAGAAAGCATTGCGGTCGACTTCAATGACCACCTGGTCGACCGCACTTAGTTTAAGTTGTTATTTTTGGTCGACCAAAATAAAACCTCGGTCGGCCATTTCGTTGGCGTCAGAAACAACATGGTCGACCACCTAAGGTATATAGGTCGACCACTTGATGGCAGTCATTAACAAAATGGTCGACCGGATAAGGAAAGAGGTCGACCAGATAGAAGATAAGTGTTCTATCAAAGTGTCCAATCATTTGACGTAAAATGAAGATCAAGTGTTGGTTTCGAGGTCGACCTAATCCGGTACGAGGTCGACCGAATACAATAAAGTCAACCTATGCCCTGTGTCTTTTTTGCTTATGTATGTCGATTTGTGTGGTTCTTTTGCTCGTATAAATTATGTTTCAAACCATCATAAATAGTCATAAATAATGATAACAAGGACTCATCAATTCATAGCATAACAACTAAACAAGCTAACAAGAAATACAATAAAACAGAAATCATAATTGTTCACACATAAAAATAAAACTTAAAAAACAACAGAATAACAATCAACAATCGTTTTGACCACTTAACAATAAAAACACACAATCTAAAATCTCTGCGCTCGTTGATTGTTATTCCAGGAGATTTTAGATTGTGTGTTTTTACTGAACGGGACATGCGGGACATACGGGTTTAGGTTTTAGGTTTTAGTGTAATTGATCAGGATGGGACCGCCCTGCATGTCCTGTTCTTATGGATGTAAGAGAGTTTAGGTTTTAGGGTCTTCTTTATTATATTGTTGTTGTTTGCTTGCCGGTGGCCGGCATAGGGTTGCAAAGGAGAACTCGGTGAAGGCAGCAGACATTTGTGTCTTCGATTGCATTCCAAGGTGGCCTAATGGCCTGCACTGCACTCCTGCTGAAAGTCACATCTGGCTTTCAATCGATTTAAATTTTTCGAGGTCGACCTCAATATCATCACAGGTCGACCTCAATAAGTTTAGCACAAATAACTCATATTTTTGCCTTCATAGGTCGACCTCAGAAGCATCATAGGTCGATCTCGGCTAATTTGAAAAGAGTCTGAAATGGCCCAAATGTTTTTAATGTTGAGTGCAAAACAGATCCGGTCGACCTCATAATATCAACAGGTCGACCAAAGTTAGTTTCGCACAAATAATTCGTAGGAGAATGGCACAAATCGAATTTTTGCCTTCATAGGTCGAAATTAGAAGCATCATAGGTCGACCTCGGCTAATTTGAAACGAGTCTGAAATGGCCCAAATGCTTTTAATGTTGAGTGCAAAGCAGATCCAGTCGGCCTCATAATTTCAACAGGTCGACCAGAGTTAGTTTCGCACAAATAACTCGTAGGAGAATGGCAAAACTCGAATTTTTGCCTTCATAGGTCGACCTCAAAAGCATCATAGGTCGACCTCGGCTAATTTGAAACGAGTCTCAAATGTCCCAAATGCTTTTAATGTAGAGTGCAAAACAGATTCGGTTGACCTCATAATATCAACAGGTTGACCAGAGTTAGTTTCGCACAAATAATTCGTAGGAGAATGGCACAAATCGAATTTTTGCCTTCATAGGTCGACCTCAGAAGCATCATAGGTTGACCTCGGCTAATTTGAAACGAGTCTGAAATGGCCCAAATGCTTTTAATGTTGAGTGCAAAACAGATCCGGTCGACCTCATAATATCAACAGGTCGACCAGAGTTAGTTTCGCACAAATAATTCGTAGGAGAATGGCAAAACTCGAATTTTTGCCTTCATAGGTCGACCTCAGAAGCATCATAGTTTGACCTCGGCTAATTTAAAACGAATCTGAAATGGCCCAAATGCTTTTAATGTAGAGTGCAAAACTGATGCGGTCGACCTCATAATATCAACAGGTCGACCAAAGTTAGTTTCGCACAAATAATTCGTAGGAGAATGGCACAAATCGAATTTTTGCCTTCATAGGTCGACCTCAAAAGCATCATAGGTCGACCTCGGCTAATTTGAAACGAGTCTGAAATGGCCCAAATGCTTTTCAAGCTATAGATCTAAATAAAAAGTCAAAAACTCGTAGCAAAACGTCACAGGTGGACCTCAATATCATCAAAGGTCGACCTCAGTCCATAGAAAAGAAGAATCATCTATTAAATCCAGATGTGGTCGACCACGAAGATGAACAGGTCGACCGCATCTGACGAACAGAAGGCAAAATCCCTCTTTTCCATCTATAGATCTAAATAAAAAGTCAAAAACTCGTAGCAAAACATCACATGTCGACCTCAATATCATCACAGGTCGACCTCAGTCCATAAAACAGAAGAACAAAACGATTAAAATCCAGATGCGGTCGACCACGAAGATGAAAAGGTCGACCGCATCTGACGAACAGAAGGGAAAATCCCTCTTTTCCATCTATAGATCTAAATAAAAAGTCAAAAACTCGTAGCAAAATGTCACAGGTCGACCTCAATATCATCACAGGTCGACCTCAGTCCATAGAACAGAAGAACAAAACGATTGAAAGCCAGATGCGGTCGACCACGAAGATGAACAGGTCGACCGCATCTGACGAACAGAAGGGAAATCCCTCTTTTCCATCTTTAGATTTTTTGAAAACAATCTAATCTACCAAAGAAGAAGAGAAATTCGAATCAAATGAAAAGAAGATTGAAAGCTATACCTTGTTCTTCTTCTAAGTGATGATGATGAAATGGAATGGAGGTTCCTTTGAGATTTTGGAAATAAGAGATTTTGGAAATTGGAGAAGAAGATGAAGAAGGGAAAGGAGAGGAAGAATGAGTAGATGTGGTGGGATAGGGTTCTGATTGTGGTGTAGAATGAGTGGGGGAGGGTTTCTTAAATAGAGGATTGGGCGATAGGTTGGGGTGGATGTTGGCAAACGAACCGGTTTGGTGGGCCGAATTAAATACGCGGTCGACCGCGTTATTGGTCAGGTCGACCGTTTTATTGTGTTTGTTTATTTCAACCAACAATCAATTACCTCATAAATTATTAAGATAATTCGAAAAAAATACAATGCAATCATAGTTATAAAAAAATAAATAAACTCCTAAAAAACAGTAGAAGAAATTTAAGATCCTTTTTTGGGACTTTGTTTCGGGCACTTAGGGCGAAAATGACCATATTTCCCACATTTCGAACACTTTCTTAAACTTTTGCCCGATGCAGTTCGTGCTGACTTGAATGTCCCCTTGGTCTTCCCAATTTTTGGATCTTTCACACTTCGAAGGGGGGCTGGAGGGTTTGTCGGTGTAGTGTTGTCCGTTCTCTCCCTCGCGAACTCAATTTCCTATTGAGTAAGGTCGTCCAACGTCTTAGAGACATGATTAAAAGCAGCTTCACTACCACACGCGATGTCACACAAACGCTTACACTTTAGAGCCAATCCTCCATGTCTTATGAGTCGACCAACTTTCTCTCCCACATCACCTCCAACTCTAGGATGACGATTTAGTGTCTTCGCATTTGGGTCCATCGAAGCTTGAACCACGAGGAGGGTAGTGCGGTGTATCCCATATTTTTTATTACTGTAAGCATATGTCTGCATGGAAACCCCTTAGATTCAAATAATGCACACTCGCATTTTAGATCTTGATTGGACTTAGTAAATGTTAACCGCCTTATCCGATCTGGGTTCATGTAGTTCTTCAGAATGAATGTCTCTGTCCCATCTGATTCATTTCTTCTCTCCGCTAATACATAAGAAGCTTCATTCTCTAGTTCAGACTTGAAGATAGCAAATGTACGATGTGTGTAGATACTTTCAGCTTGCATTTCCCAAGTGCGAAGGGCATGCTTGAAGACCAACATCGTGTGCCTAGAAGTATAATCATCATGCACCTCCGTGAAACGCATCCCCTCTAGTGCTTCATCAGTGCCCTGAAAAAAACGTTGCAAGCTGTATTGCGCTCCCACATACCCATTTATCCAATGGTTACATGACTCACATCGCGAGGTTGATTGGAGTCCACCGAAATAAATATCCTTCAAGTATGCCTCTGCCCACAGTAATTTGTCAGCGTACAAATCCTGCAACCACTTATTTGCAGACAAACCATGCTCACTAATCAAATGCTCCCAACGCCTCTCAAACTCCTCAATCGATATACGTGCTTTCGCCAAGTAAGTGAATGCGCTAACGAACTCCCTATTATGAACGACCGTTGTCGCATTTGTCTCAATATGCCAAATACACAGACGGTGAGGCACTCCAACCAGAATAGTAGCAATGGCACCACGCATAGACTTGT